CCTCATGTGACCCGCCTCCGTCTGCTCTTCTGGGTTCAGCTGGGCCCTCCTGTGGGAGAGGGTTGCCCTAAAGCTCCAGCTGGGAAACCCTGCCTGCGCCTTCACCAGTCTCCCACTTGGGGTGTCCTCCGCCGTGACTAGGTCATCCTGTACTTTCCTCCGCACCGCACTCCTCACGAGTTGCTGGACTGAGAATGAAGGGTGGCAGGGTAGAAGGGATGGAGCCCGAGATGGAATAGCTTTAACGAACCAAGACAAAAACAAAGTGTGGGAGTCCTGTCCCTGGGGTTTATGGCTGGCTGCAGAGGTGATTAGATGGCTGGCGTTATCAGCAGCTCACACCCTCCACGTCCATGTCTCTGCTGACACCACCTCAAGCTCTGGCCACTCCTCACCCCAGGCCTCACACCCTTGAACCCCTGTGTCTTTCTTGCTCTCCACAATACCCCTGGTGTTCACAGAGCTGGTCTTCTATGTTTGTTGACTGACTGAATGACTGGCAGGCTCAAGGAGAAAAGTGCGGAGGTAGAATTGAGGACACGACTGGGACAAACCTCCTCCTGGTTTCCTTCCTGGAGGGGAGAGCTGGCCCAGTGAGTGTGACACTGGAGCTGGGCTCCAGTGCCTCCTGCTCAGGCCGCATCACCAGACACTGGGCAAACAGGCTGGACCAGGGGAGCTTGGTGGTGCCTACCAACTGTGACGTCCAGATTCTCCAGACGGTGACAGATGTGGTCAGTGCTCAGGACTATGGACCCTTCTTCAGCGCCCCAGGAACCTCTGGTGGAGTCCCTGCTACACCCCTCACATCTTCAACCTGACTTCTGCAACAACCTGTTTGCATCCCTGCTCCCCTGTCTGCACATGCAGCTGACTTCTCTGCTTGGGGAAGAGGAGTGTTGGCGGGCAGGGTGGAACGGGGATGGCGTGCACGTTCCTTTCCCGGGGCCTCTGCCCTCCCTCTGCTTCCCTGGTTGGAACCACATCCCCTGGTTCTTCCTGTGCCTGAACCTCACTCTGCTCTCCGCAGAGAGCTGTCCCCGGCACCCCTAACAACAGCCCTCCCTCCTGTGACACTGTCCCCTTCCTCTGCTTCATGTTCTTTGCAACACTGGTTCCTACGTGCAAGTAGGTTTCTGTGTGTGTGTGTGCACGTGTGTTTATCTTTTAATTATCTGTCTCTCCCACTTCGTATCAGTTACATGCAAGCAGGGACCTTGTCTGTCTTATGGATTACTGTCTCTCCAGGGCCCAGAACAATGTCTGGCACAAGTAGGTGACCAATAAACCTTTGTTGAAAGAAAGAGAGGAAGGGTGAAAGGAAGGGCGAGAGGAAAAACAGACTTCTTCCTGATCCCCCCCACCATGCCCTGTGGGGGGCTGCTCAGAAGCACACTGCGAGGCTGGGCAAGCCCACCCCTTCCACGGTCGCCCCCCTTGGGTGCCCCGTGCTGTTGAGCCACCTCCTGCCCTGGGCTGGTCCCCTCTCCGCCTCTGCCTCCCATGTGCCTGTTCCGGGCAGAAGTGAAAGCTGGCATGACAGTCCTGGTTCTCATTGCTTCTCCATCCCTCCTGAATGTTCTTTTGGCTCGCGGACAGGTTACTCTTGTTTATCTACATCTTGTTTTTCCAGACTGGACCAACTTTGGGGTCAACTCAGGATCCACAGACTGTGACATCCCTCAGCCCAATCCCCTCGCACTCCAGAGTCCCAGGTGACTCACTGTCTTCAAGGGAAGCTTTGTGGCCAGTCCCCCACCTCGCTGCCCCTCCTGCCACCATCACTGCTGTCCGCCGGACATGCTGGCTGCACCTACTGGGGCTGCTGGTTTTCTGGCCACCTCCACTACCCCTGAAGCTGGAAGATAGGATTTCCCCGCTGAGCAATTATAGTTCCATTTTAAGCTCATCAAAGTAGCTGTGTACTTTCAGATTCAGATCAGTTTTCTTTTCAAGGATGTTGGAGCAAGGGCCCCATGGAGCGAGCCTGAGATGCCGCCACCGGCTGAAGGCCACTCTCGCCCTTAGTATACAGGTCAGCAGATGTGTCCTTCGATGATTATCACCCCTGGGCCAGGTCCACCGCCTGGAGCTGGAGGAGCTGGCGCAGGCTTTGGTTCAGGCATGTGGATTCCTATTCTGGCAGTACTGGTGGGCCTCCTCACCTGCCTTCCAGCCAAGCTCCTGCTTTCTCTCTGCTGTCCCTTTGCCGGGTTAACCCCTGCTCGCCCTATGGCTCTACAATTCTATGCCACTCCCCAGAAGCTTTCCCTGGCCCTCACATCTGGGATAAGCGCCCTTTCTATGTGCTGTTAGGGCCTGAAGAGGACAGGGCTGGGCCTGTCCCACTTGCTGTTACATCCCCAGTGGCACTCAACAAAACAGCTGTAAAGAGTGACTGAATTTGAGTGTTTGCATCTTGCAGTGCCTTAGGTCTGGGGAGCCCCATCTCCAATGCCTGTGGGGTTCTGTGCAGCTCAAGGTTAAGGCCTGTGCCTAATGCTTCTGCTGAGCAGGAGTTAACTGGGTGTTTCAGCCTGCTGCAGGTAGGGAAGCTTTGCTGGGAGAGGCCAGAACTGCTGAGAGGCCCCTCACCAGAGCAAGGGTAGAACTGCCATATAAAATGCAGGGCACCCTGTTAGATCTGAATTTCAGATAAACAGCAAATACATTTTTAGTATATTGTATGTGCTATGTGAGACATCCTTGTGCCAAAATAATATTAAATTCAAATGTAACCGGGCATCTGGGTTTTCTTTCCCCTTCTAAGTCTGGGAACCCTAGCAAGGCAGACGTGATCAGCAAGGCACTAGGGGATCTGAGGTCCTGCTTACGAGGTACATTCTGCTGGCTGTCTGGGCTCTTCCTGCTTTTCAAATGCTTTTGGCCAAAGAACAGGGTGAGCTCAAGGTGTGGTTTCTTGGGGCTGTTGTTAGCACACTTAATCCAGGGTATCTCCCTACATCTCAGTCCCTGACCCCAGCTACTGGACTGAATGGTCAGGGGTGGCCTTTCTGAGGAGGAAATGTTTGAGTTGAGATTTGAAGGAATGAGCCAAGTGATAGAGGAAGAACATTCCAAAGGAGAGTGGGAGTGAACCTGGTGAGACTGAGGAACATAAAGGCTAGTGTAACATTGTAAACTGACTGTACTTCAGTAAAAATATATTAAAAAAAAAAGCTGGTGTAGTGTAGTGAATGCAGGAAGGGAGGGGTTTGCATGGAAAACCTTGGGCCACATCTTGGTCCCCAAGAAGGGGCCTTTGGGCTACTCTCCTTGCTGGTCACCATGGCCGGCTAAAGAGTGAGTGCTTCTCTGGTCTCCAAGGCTGAGTCTCAGCAGCAGGGACGGGGGAGGGAGGGACTGAGTGATCGCCATTCTAGGTTAGGGATTCTAGCAACAGAGGAAAGAACACGGGGTCTTGGTGCTTGACCACAGTTTGGTGGGATCACCTGTTCTTTAAAATGGTGGGGTGGAGGCATGAGTCCTTAGAGCTAGGTCCCATGGGACCGCTATCCATGGAGGCACCCTGCCTCACTCAAGACAGTCACCCCCATCTCATCCTGGGAGCACTGCTGGTGGCTGGATGTGCTCTCCCTCCTAAGGGATGGGGGGAGGACCCAAAGGTCCCATTCCACCTGGCAAGAGTCTCTCTCCCAGTTTTGGAAGGGGCTAGGGGCTGAAAGTCCTACATCAAGAAGCCCAAATCAGGTCCTCAGCAAGGCTCTGCACCTCTGTGGATCCCTGCCCATTCCAGTCCTCATCCTCTAAATCCAAATACGCGGATCAAACAATGGGAAAGGGCTTGGTGCCAAGGACTCAACTCACAAGGCACTTGTTGCCTGCTGTTTGCCTGTCGGTATGTGAAGGAAGCTGTTTCTTAATTTAAAATGTCCATTAACTCCCTTCAACTGGAAGGGTTTGGGGGAGGGTTGAAGTTTGGTCACTCTGAGGGGGTGGGCCCAGCTGGGTTTGCCCTCTGGGAAGATGTGCTCAGGGCAGTGTCTTGCCATGCTCCTGAGACTATATTCTCTCTGTAAGGAGGCACTGGATCCCTAAGGTCCCCCTTGGCCAAGGACTTCCAGAAGTCTCCAGCCAGGGCCCATGAGAAGTCCTCCAGTGCTGGGGGAGGGGGGAGTCCCTTTGCTGAGGCTCATATACGTCTCCAGGGGAGGAAACCTCATTTCCCTACTACTGCCAGGCCTTTGGTAAGTCTTGCCAGGCATCCGTCACGAAAGAACCTTTTGTTCTGAGCTTGTAGGAAGTCTGAGCTGGAGTTGTTATCTACTCACAGCGTTTCCTGGATAGGGGGCCTGGACCGGGACTTCGGTAGGGGCTGGCCCCTAGCCTTGGCCCTGGCTCCTTCCTCTCTTAGCCGTCGGGGCAGGGGAGGTTGCTCATGGCAAGCTCTAGGCCTTCACGAAAGACTGGCGAGAAGTGATATTTGTCTGTACGCTGCAGGATTGAGGTGTAGTCAGTCAGGCAAAGGCTCCTGGCTTGGGAACAGAGGGCAAAATCGTCATCTTGTGTTGAGGGGGCGGAGGAGGGCACTGCAAAACTGGGCAAGGGGTGAGTTCAGCCTCCCAGCATAGTGACACCTCCTCCCTCCGGGCAGTGAGGGAGGAGCGAGTACCCCTGGGGCTGCAGGAGCAGCAGCGCGGGCCAAGACCCGGGCCACTTCTGACACCTAGTGGCCACCTGAGGTCGGGGCTGGGTTGGGTGGGGCGAGGGGAGGGGCGGGAAGAAGGTGGAAGGGAAAGGGAGGGCGTGGAGGGAGGGACTATGGAAGCTCGGAGACCAGGCCTGGGCAGGGCGGCCGTTCTCCCGGCCCGCATCCCTCCGTCCTCTGCCCTGGGCCGGGCCTGGGCAACCCTGGCAGCCCATCCCCTCTCAGCTTCTCCCGCGGCCTTGGAGTCAGGCCTAGGCTAGGAGGCCCCCCAATCCCACGGGCCACGCAGACTACCATAGGCCCCCGAACGTGGCCCGGATTCGAAGGTTACCTGAGCTTGGGTCCGGAGGCTGGGTCACGGTGGCCGTGGGTCTCCCGCCGGAGCCCCTGCCACGCAGGTGTCAAGGTTCTGGCCCGGGGTCTGGCGGGGCCCTGTCCCCAGACCGGGGACCATGG